TGCGGATCTTAAAGGACAAATGCAAGTGAGGTGTTAAAGATTATATTGCTGACTGTGATTCTGCATTCATCCAGCAGATGGTATCATGAGCAGATAAAGCTCCATAATATTATCCCTCTGCTGAAGCAATTGGCTCAGGAGCAGGAAAGGAATGGTCCAATCACGTTTAAGATCAATGTCCTTTAGGGAGGAGTCAGGAGAGGCCAACCAATCCAAGATAGGGAGCTGACAGCTGGGAGCCAATCAACGACCTGCAACTGCACAGTATTACATCACCAATATGGCCTCTGGCCATAACTATTTGTGATTGTGAAACTTTGTTTTACCACTAGATACATTGGAGGAAACCAGAGGCCTTCAGTTATAGCTGTATTGTTCAAACAAATAGATAAACGGCTGGTTTCCAACAATCAACAGCCCCTTTCTAAATGAGATTAATGTAAAGTAAAATGAACTTCAATTAAAGCACATATTTCTTACCCATTGTTATCATGTTAAGCTTGTGTGTTTCCCAACATAACTTACTAACCTTTCACTCCTTGCTTATCATAACTTGTTAGATTAAATCACAAAAGGTTTTAAAAAACCAACAGGAAAAAGAAAAAATGGCTTAATATGTTCGTTAATTTTCTTAGAATTTAGTGACACTTTCAACAAGAGTTGTGCAGCCAGCTTAGAGGTGAGGGTATTTTTTGTTAAACGAACTCCAGTACTCATGTTTGTCAGAATTCCCCTGGACACCTCACTTGGGAGGTGTTCCAGACACAATGGAGAGACTATGTGTCTCGAATGGCCTGGGAGAGCTCAAGCTTCTCCAAAATGGAATGGAGAAGGTGTCTGGGGAGAGGAAAGTCCGGGGGTCTCTGCTGAGGTTGTTGCCCCCGTGGTCCCAGAGGAAGTGGTAAACGATGAGTATGAGTATGAGTAAAATCCTCTAGTTCTGCTCTGAAAGATGTTTTAGAGGGTTTTCAGGCAAGGAGTTAAACCTTCAAACACCATATGGAGTCATTCCTTTGAAAATGAGCCTGGTAACAAAGAAACCAGTAGAGCAGATACTAAAAAGCATCATGGCATGTGAATATTGTAAGCCTATTAATTGATTTTGCTAATGCATAAATATAATATATTTATATATTATACATTTGAAAGTGAAAACAGTCATATTTCCATCATCATTTTTATGTGCAATTTGAAACATAGCATCAGAAAATGTAGAATTTCAAATAGCTTTCAGTCACAATAAGTTCTTCTGCTTATTTAAGATGATCTGGTTTCATGATTTTGTTAAGGCTTCTGATTCACATGCAGGAAGTAAATACAAGGATATACTGAGAACATTTAACGAAACATCTGAGGCTCATAATATAGCAGATCTATGGAGACAGCACTATTCTGCTAACCTGACTCCGCCAGATGGATTTGCTCCGCATATCCATCTGGAAACCTTCCGTCGAAGTAATTTTGGGAAGGGGCGAAAATACTGGTTAGCTGATTGGCCTATGTTGGTGATAGACTAAGGTGACCAGATTTCTGAAATCAAATCTGGGGACATTTCTTGCTCGTGGATAAAAATCAATACATCTTATCGAG